GGCAGCAGGAGCAATGGGAGGAGGGAGATTCCTGGCTCCCAGCCCCGCCCAGCCCCATTCCCTGCAGCCCCCCGGGGCAGTGACTGCCCTGGGGAGAAGGGGAGGGGCAGGGAGAGGAAAAGCCAGTTCCTGCCTCTGCCCGGTCCCGCACTGCTGGGGGACACGCTGCCCTGGGGACAGGGTCACGAGGATCCCCCAAAGAGGCACCTTTGATTCTGCTCTTTGGGTGCACAATTTTATCCTTTTCAGTTGTTTATAAAGGGCTGAACGTCACTGGATGGATCTTGGCTCTGAGCCCGTCTGGCAGCAGTGCCTACGTTCATCTTCAGGGTAGAAAGCCTCTGTCCAGAGCAAATTTGTTTTGGAAACAGATTAAAAAGCACCACTTAGCCTCATTTTGAGCAAGGGGGAAACAACCCTTTTACCATTATTTTTAAAAAGTGTTATCAACTTTTGAACTAATTCGGTAGCAGAAGGATTTAGGCTGGTAACTTTACATTTGACGCAGAGAGAATTCCTAGGTCAGACAGTCTCGTCTCTCAGCTCTGGTTAAAAACGACCTGTGATGTGTGTGTTTTCTGAGGGTTCAATAACTCTCCGTTCTGCACACACACTGATTCCTTCTTCCATTTGGTAAGTTTTGTTTATTAACTTAGGGTCTGATTTTGCCAAACACTTCCACACATGGGTGTCTTCAGCCATCTGAGCGGCATCACTGACTTTATTAAATCTCTGTTACTAGCCAGATCTACAAATGTCTCACAGATTTATTCCCGGTGGCAGGGGCAGAGTCTGTGCTATAATCACATGACCAAGGCCAGGAACTTTAATTACAGGACCCTAAAAGTACATTTCCAAATCCATAGTCAGGCAGCGGAATAAGTGGCCTGGTCTCAATAACTCTGGACACTCAGAACCGAACCCCGGCATTGCAGGCTCAGCATTTGTGAAACTCAGGCCACGTATTGAGATAACTGACTGTTGGGCCCTAACTTGATATTGCTCATTTGTTTGCTTGACCCCAAGTAGGAGTTCCCATTTCCAGACCTGACATGATCTCCTGGCTGGAGTGAAGGGAGGAGCTGTGGGTCCCCAGTCTCTGGGGAGAGGAGGAAAGAGAGATACTGAGAGATGCCCGCAGAGGTAAGGAATTGGCAAAAGTGGCTCAGAATCCGTGTTTTACACCTTCATGGCAAATGCCAGTTCTGAGTTTTCACCAATCCTGTGTGCCCAGGTAGAAACAAACTCTCTCCTAACTATTCAGATGGGAATGAGGTGCCAGAATTGGTTCCCTCCTTTCTCTCTTTGGGGAAGGATTTGGGGACAGTTGTTCGGTGTGTTTCCACTTTCCCACTCCCCTTTTGGTTTGTCCCCTTTTTTCTGCAGCAGAGGGCGTGACGTGAACTGGATTATCTCTGTGTCTCTGGGACGGTGAGTGAGACCGAGGAGAATCCTCAGCTGGGAGTCCGGAGCAGGAGGAACCACACAGGACAGTTTGGGGAGATCGTAGGAGACTCAGCCCAAGCCATGCGGGCACCAGGGAAAAGAGCCAGGGCAGAGACTGAGTGAATCAGCTCACCAGAGCAGAGGGGTTGGAAAAATCAAAGAAACTTCCCAGCAGAGAATCCCCACTGGAGACAGACCCAGTATGTTTGGTGACTGTGGGAACAGCTTCCCTGGGAGTTCTGCCCATATTACTCAGCAGACAGTCCACATGGGAGAAAAACGCTATAGATGTGCTGAGTGTGGGAAAAGCTTCTCTCAGAGTACAACGCTCATTAACCATCAGAGACTCCACACAGGAGAGAAGCCCTACATGTGCCCCACGTGTGGGATCAGCTTTGTTCAGCTCTCACAAGTTGTTAGACACCAGAGAATCCACACGGGAGAAAAGCCCTATACATGCCTGACCTGTGGGAAAAGCTTCCAATACAGTTCAGCTCTTACCACATATCAGAGAAAACACACTGGAGAGAAACCTTATAAATGTCCCGAGTGCCAAAAAACATTCAGTGACAGTTGAATCTTTAGCAGGCATCGGCGGGTACACACAGGAGAGAAGCCCTTCAAATGCTGTGATTGTGGGAAAAGCTTTGGGGAGAGCTCAGACCTTCTTGTACATCAGAGAGTACACACGGAAGAGAAACCCTATAAATGCCTTGAGTGTGGGACAAGTTTCAGAGTACCATCAGCACTTATTGTGCACCAGAGAGTACACACTGGAGAGAGGCCCTATAAGTGCCTGACCTGTGGGAAAACATACCGGTGTAGCTCACACCTTACTAAACATCAGAGAATCCACACAGGCAAGAAATCCTTGAAGTGCCCTTACTAGGGAAGGGCCAAGTGAATCCTGTGAACCTCAGAGCATCAGGCCAGGCTGGAGTGGCTGTGTGGGACGTTATTGACATGAACTGGGAACATATAGATTATTGTTGCAACCAAGGTCCTGTAGTGGCACCAAATATTCTATAAAGGGGGTCAGATAAGGTGTCTAAAACAAGGTTATGGTTTGCTAGTTATGATTATGCTATCTGTATGCATGTGCCATTTTAGTATTTAAAGTTGTAAGTATTGGCTCTATACTGTCTGTATTTCAAACTTGTGCAATGCTTCTGGATGATACCCCAGACAATGTGGCGTCAGCACTGCCTAGCCTGCTTGATGGTCCATTAAGGACAATCAGCTATACAACTGACCCACGGAGAGAAGGCAGATACACCTTGTGACTCAGCAAGGTATGCAGGAACCTGCCTATGGACTGAACTCTAAGGTTTTTTTCTTGCCATGTGTCCGAATGCTTGTCTTTGCAACAAAGAAAGAAAGGCCACATCACAAGAGACTATAAAAGACTGCTGCATCTCCTCCATCTTGTCTTCATTCCTGCTTCTTGCCTGTGGAGGGACTTTGCTACAAACTGAAGTTCTAAACAAAGGACTGAATGACCCATCCCAGCTGGGGATGTATTCCAGAGACTTGATTTGAACCTGCAGTTTATTCTAACAGTGCTATAAGCCTAAACCAAGAACTTTGCTATTACTGTATGTAATTGATTCCATTTAACCAATTCTAGCTCTCATCTATATCTTTTTCCTTTTATGAATAAACCTTTAGATTTTAGATTCTAAAGGATTGGCAACAGCGTGATTTGTGGGTAAGATCTGATTTGTATATTGACCTGGGTCTGGGGCTTGGTCCTTTGGGATCAAGAGAAAAGAAAAAAGGTTACTGGGGTATTGGTTTTCATAACCATTTGTCCCCATAATGAGTGGCACTGGTGGTGTACTGGGAAACTGGAGTGTCTAAGGGAATTGCTTGTGTGACTTGTGGTTAGCCAGTGGGGTAAAACCAAAGTCCTCTCTGTCTGGCTGGTTTGGTTTGCCTTAGAGGTGGAAAAACCCCAGCTCTGGGCTGTAACTGCCCTGCTTTAAGCATTTTGTCCTGAATTGGCACTCTCAGTTGGGTCCCACCAAGGGCACCATCGTTACACTGTGTAATGGGGATATGCAATTGTTATAAAGCAGAGAATAAAATCCCATTCCTGGAACAGACTTGTGTAGAGCAGGAGGCTGGGTTAAGATTCCCACACGGTGATGGGATTTGATTATGATTTTTCAAGACTCTCTGGATGTCCCCTGATCCACTCCTACATTTAAGTTAATTCCCCACAGGAGAGTTGGCACCATCCCAGAGCGCTGGGCAATTCCCTGAGCTGAGCTCTCCCACAGGAGCTGATCGCAGACTCGGGGTGATTCTAACGCTGGGCGTGTCCCTACCTGTGTGGCTGGAAAGGGGGGGTTGAGAGCCTGACACAGCAGCACAGAGTCGGGGGGGGGGACCCAGGCTGGGGGGACAGGCACATCCAGTGGGATCCCAGCACATCCAGTGGCACCCCAGAAATGGGGGCTCAACCTATCACAGCACTGCACATACTTCTCCCCCATTAAAGGATGAGAGAACCAACAGGCTGCTTATTACACCACTGATAGGTGGGAGTGCTCACACACTGTGGGGTTGAGCACGGTAGAAGCACCCACACACCATAGAAATGATCTTATCTTACGCTCTGTGACCTCTCATTTCTACTTGATAGTACGTTGTTTAATAAAATGGATACATTCAGGAGCAATAATGGTCTCTAGGAGGTTTGAAATCCAACGTCCTGACCTTGGGCTTGGGATGACGGTTTATTTGTGACTTTCCTGCTGCGCAGGAGGAGGAATAACATGGGTCTTCTCAGATTCATTCATCTGCAAAGGAGAAGAATGTGAGAATGGGCCTTCATGGGATGCAGGGAGGGGGTAGCTAGGAGCTGATGGGACTTTCAGCTGTTTGTTCCCTGTAGTTACCATGAATTCATAGATCTAGAAGGTTTAGCTCAGTGGTTCTCAACCTGCAGCTTGTGGGCCACTTGCAGACTGCAGCCCAATCAGTACACAGCTGCAGCCCACGTGACACCCTCAGGGCCATACGGGATCAGCGGTTCTCAACCAGGGGTCCGTGGCCCACAGGGTGTTCGTGAGCCCTTTCAAGGGGGCCATGGGGCCCTGTGGCTGAAGCCCTGATCTCTGCTGCCCCCTGCAGGGCTGAAGATGGGAGGTGCGGGGCTGAATCCCTGAGCTCCGGTGCTCCCTGTGGGGCAGGTTAGCCCTGAGCACATGGGCAGAGTTGGGGACATGGAGGGCATAGCCCCCCCTCCCCCCCACTGCAGCGCAAGATCACGGCAATCCTGGGGCAGCTCCACACCTGCCCCTCCCCCACCCAGGTCAGAAGCGGGAAGCTGGAGCCAGGCAATGGGGGTCAGCTGTGGCTCTGGCTGGTGCATGGAGTAGGCAGCAGGATCCTGCCTCTCCAGCTGGTGCCCCAGATTGAAGCTGCTCCTCCACTCCCAGCCCCCTTTACTCCCACAGAGGCAGCTGGTTAGAGCTGCCCAACTCCGTGGCTGGCAGACCCCTCCGGGAACAGTGACCGCAGAGGAGTCCTCCCAGCACCATCCCTAATACCCCTTTCCCTACACCCTGAGCTACGCCCTCCCTGCACCACCCTCTGCCCCCACACAGCCCCTAGCTACCCCCTCCCTGCACCCTGAGCTACCCTCTGCCATCATACAGCCCCTAGCTACCCCCTGCCATCATACAGCCCCTAGCTACCCCCTCCCTGCACCCTGAGCTGTTTTCAAACTTTTTGAGCTAAGGTCCCCACCTTTGAGTTATAATTTTTGGTTGCGCTCCTGCTCCCACCCCCATGCCAGACAAGTGAGTGGCTTGCTGAGGTGAGTCAGAAGGTGGAGGTGGCTCTGCCTCCCTTGACCCTGCTATCCAGGGCTCAAGCCCCACTGGCCCTGGTCCTCCCAAATAGACATCAAACTACACCTATGCCCAAGGCCCATCTGTCCCCCGGCCCCTGAATTTGTATAGCATGGCGGGGGGGCTCAGAGAGAAAAAGGCTGAGAACCCCTGGTCTATATGTTGTGTGGCTGCTGCCCACATAACACAGAGAGAGCTGCCCCCAATGGTAACTAGCTTGAGAACCACTGGGTTAGCTAGATGACTGAGTTGCTGATTGTTAGCAATGTTCCCTCTCATTATTTGCATCCGTGTTTAATGAATTTTGTTATGTGCACCAATATGAAGCTGGGGGGTGGGGCTCAGGGCCGGGGCAGAGAGTTGGGGCATGGGGGGCTGAGGATCTGGCTGGCGGTGCAGGCTCTGGAATGGGGCCTGGGATGAGGGGTTTGGGGGGGCAGGCTGTGGCAGGGTGTGAGGACTCTCCCCAGGCCTCTCTCATCACAGTAGCCAGGGGCTGGGGGAGAGGTGTCTCTCCCCATCTGCACAGTCCTTGATAGCCTGCTGCGCGGCCAGGCAGCTTAGAGGGAACAGAGGTTACCAGGAGAGTTACACACGTCCACTGTGATGGGTCTGTAGTTCTCCTTTATGACACACGTATCCTCTCCAAAGCCCTGCCCTAAGAATGTGAAATGGAATGAGGCAGGCTCCCCACTAACAGCTGGGCAGGACAAAGGGACAGTTCAATGAGAGGCGTAGGTGGAGGAAAGGGGAGGCCCAGGGCAATGCCACTGTCTGTGGAGCCCCGGGGCCAGGGACAGTTCCTCTTCTCTCCCCACCCCTCCTTGGCCAGAACTTGCAGGGGGGCAGGGACTTGGGGGAAAGGGTAGAATGGATGCAGGGCGGAGCAGGAGCAGGGAGAGGCGGGGCAGGGTTGGGGCCTTGGGGGAAGGGGTGGGGTGGTGGTGGGGCACCCAGAGGCCAGAGGGGAAGTTGGTGCCTATTGGGCAGGTGAGGCTACCTGCACGTATGCTGTAGCCATGAGATCCAGAAGGGGGATGCGACCAGGTGACTCTGCCTGGGAAGCTAGACAAATACAGGGAGGAGGAGCAACGGGTAGGGCAGGGAAGGGGTCAGGCACCTGAAATGGGTCAGTCTCGGCTGGCTTGGAGGGTGGGGAAGGCCAGAGCCCTGGCTCTAAGAAAAGAAAGTATGGGTTAAAAAAACGTTATACCCACAGATATGGAGTTCTAAGGGCAGTTTCATAGTAGACATGGTGAGCATCAGAGTTGCAAAAAGTTCTTTTCAGAATTAGTTCCATAGGTTCTAGGCCAATGTCCATTATCAGGGTGCTCCAGACTGGAGCTGGAGATCTCAGTCATGGACTGAAACATCCCCTGATGAAGCTGAAGCAGATCCGAGATAGCAGGATGCCGGCCCAAGAGTTCCTTTTATAGTTCTCTGGAAGCCTCCTGACATTCAGGTGTTCCTTGGGTGCAGCATTGTGGCTTTGAAGTAAAACCTCCTATTTCCCCTGTATACACAGGTAACTGTTCATAGACAGTTTACTACAAACTTCAAAGAGAATTACAGACAATGATATTGTTACACCAAAACTTCATCAAAATGTTAAAATTCTCTTTTGATCTCTCAATCAATAGACCACAGTGACAGATAGGAACCGTCTGGTGACACTGTTAACCTCAAACCAGGGGTGGCCAACCTGTGCCTGCAAAGGAGCCATAATTTGCTAATGTACATTGCCAAAGAGCCACACTATTATGTCAGCAGCCCCCATCAGCTCCCCCACCCCACCTGCCAGCCGCCCGCCCATCAGTGCCTCCCCTCCCTCCCTGTGCCTCATGCAGCATGCAGGACGCTCTGGGGGTGAGGAGAAGAGGGAGGGCACGGCAGGCTCGGGGAAGGGGGCGGGAAGGGGCAGGGCCTTGGGGGAAGGGGGGGAGTGGGGGCAGGGCCTGTGGCAGAGGCAGGGATTGAACAGTGAGCATTGGAAAGTTTGCACCTGTAGCTCCAGCCCCGGAGTCGGTGTCTATGGAAGGAGCCGCATATTAACCTCTGAAGAGCCGCAT